TAGTAATAGTAATAAATAATAGTAATAATAATAATAATAATAATAGTAATAGTAATAAATAATAGTAATAACCATAATAATAATCATAATAATAATGAAAAAAATAATAATAATAGTAAGAACAATAATAGTAATAATAATAAAAGTAATAATAATAATAATAATAATAATAATTTCGGATGTGCGCTACAAAAAAAATCTAATAAATAAATATTTCAGAAAAAATGTCAGCATTGTCTGAATCCAGTAGTCTTGTTCGTCGTCCGTCCAATAAAGATGGCGGAGTAATTAACCATGATTGGCCCACGCTTCTCCTCGTCTTTGCAGCATTTATCACGTTTGTGGTGACCGCTGCGTTCAATGGACTCAATGGGTCAGGAGCAGGATTAGGATCGGTAAATTATTTCAAAATTTTATTTTTTTTATACGCACTACAGACCTGAGAATTGAGCAGATTATTTTAACTGAGATTAACAGAACATTAACTTTTAAAAATATTTAAATTGCAAGATTTAAAGATTTTTAGTTTTTTTACCACCTAAAGGATGCCGAAATAACTGAAATTTTATAAATATTAGATCAAAAAGGCCACTTAGCCCTGATTTGGACACAAAAATCACTTTGACTCAAAAATGAGCAAAAGAGACCCTTAGAAGTGTATCATGTCAATTATAAATGAAATTGAATTGATGACATTTTCATAACAATTTAATCTTGAATATATTAATTCTGTCAAAATGTAATTTTTGTCATATAATCAGAATATTTCTGAAAATGAAGAGGACTCAAGCAAGAAAATTATGAATAGATCGATATTTCTTTAATTTCCATTGTTTCTTTAAAGTTATCCAGAGCTGGGAACTTTTGAATGGGAAACCTTTAATCCCGACTACTTAATTCGAATATCCAATGTGGACACTATTATTTTTTTTTTTGCTTAATCCACTCTTTTTTTGGATATATAGTACAGAAAAATCAAAAACCGGTTTTTCAGAATCATAGAGACCCTTCTGTATCTGGTTTGTAATTTTAAATGGTGCGCAAAATTTCAAATTTCCCGGCTTCTGAAACGCGACTCTGATTGGTTGACACTTTTCAGAATACAAGAAGATTAAGTTAGTCTCGGATTAAGAAAAAAAGGATATCCTAAAGTTCCAAGCTCAGACTAATCTCCTTGGCAAGGCCAGGATAAGCCTCCAGAGAGAAAACTTGTGCGTTATTTAGCATTTTTAGGACCGTAGAGAATGTATACATCTAATTTTCTTTACAGAAACATTGAAAAACAGAAAAGTACCATCAATTTATAATTGGAATATATAGGTCAATATTTATCACTGAAAACTCCGGTTTATCTGAAGTACTGATTGTAGGCTGAGTTGGAGTAAATTGACACTGTACACTATACATACATACCATAGACGGCAGAACAGGACAGTACACCTATTGAATCATCGCCTTCTTGCAAGATTATTGTGTTACCCTCTTTTCTATTTTTAAATCACTCCCTTAAACACTTATTGCCTGAAAATTTTTTAATTTTTTTAATTTAGGTTTTTATCAACACAGTTGGGAATATAAGTGATAAATACTATACATATGTAACACCAGCAGGTAAATCAATTATGAAGATATTTATTCAATCAATCGATCAATGCGGTAACATAATTGATCAATCCAGAAACTTATCTCTAAGGAATTGATTACTTGCCTAAAAATCGAATTTTCTGTGGACCTTTGGTATTTTAAACTCGGAATTCTGCTGTAACAAGAAGCCAACGTTTTAAATAGTAAAGGTTTACACCATCAGCTTAAAATAATGTGACAGTAGAAAACTAGAGTTTGAGGCAAGTATTAAATTCTACTATGGCTAATTATAAATAAAAACAAAATACATGCAAATAATCAGTTTACAAACACCTTGCTAATAAACCAGGTATGTGTCTCATGTTTTAAAGTGACTGTACATGTAATTTCAAGCAACCCTCCATTTCTAGAGAAGAATGTTCTATTCACAACGGTACCCTTTACGTCTACAGTCTCTTCAATGTAATGTTGATTATTAAAATCTTACTTTTTTAGGATTTACATTTACAATCTGGTCTGTTATATATCTATGGATAGCTATTTCTTTGGTTGCTCTGATTGTATCCCTCTTCATGCACAATCAGAAAGGAAGGTGGGTAAACTGGGGCTGGGCAAGTTTTTCTTGTTTTGAAATCGTCCGTTCCACCTTCTTTAACGAGGGCCTTCAGCTTTCTTGTTGACATCTTTTTAGGGAAAACCATGGGTACCCTGAGGGTAACATAGAATAAAATACATATAATTTTTTTCTGTTAAAAATCGGATTTTCTTCTAAACTCGATTTTTAATAAAAAATCCACGGGCAACGCCTGGCACTTCAGTTATTTGATATTTGATCAAAACAAGTATTCATAAAATGCACATACATATACATGATTACTCAGAAAGCCGACTAAGCAATTTATTTGCAATATTTTCTTAAATATCTGATTCTTCACGATTGTTTCCATCCTTGCCAGATTATTTAAGATACCTTTAAAAACCCAAAGCAAGAGCTTCAGGTCGTATTTAAAGTCTACTCCTTTGTGGGTTTCCCTGTACAACACTGGACTCCATAAACACTGTAAAATGGATAGACAGCAATTTTATGTGTATTTGATGCTTTTTAAAAGCATGCATTTTAGCTTGAAACGAACTTATTTAGTTAAATGTTTACATAGTTCAGTGGACTCAAGGTTATAATGCAAGGAAAGTTATTTCAGAGGTGTACGCATCTTTTGTACAGCAGTGTACTGTCTCTGGGCGGTAATGTAAACACAAGACGGATGTCGAAGCCTGACACGGGATCCACCTTTCATATAAAAAATCAATGAAATATTCTGGTCATAGGAAACTATTATGTAAATTATTAAAATTATCAAAATTTAATGTTTTTAACCTCCTCGGATACTAAATGAACACTGATGCATCTAGAGAACTGGTTTCAATATGTACCCAGAGTATACGCAACTGTAATTAACTTTCCTTGCATTATAACCTTGATTTTACTTATCAAAATTATAACTTGAGTTTAACAGTCGTCTTCCTATTCCATGAGATCCAGAGCTTATTTTTTATCAGAACATTCATCACATTTGGGTTGTATTTAAAGGGACAAACCGCCTATGTATGGTTGTTAAACTGAGTATGCAGTGTTGTGGACAAATTCTTTAGGATTCATTTGAGACATATAAAACTTTTTCACGACTTATAATTACCGAGTTTGAGTGCATAGTCGACGTTTAAAATCATAAATTTGGGTGGGTACGTTTTCAGAATCGTTTTTTTTTAATTATTAAATAACGACAATGTAAAATAAGGTAAATATTATACAGTAAACGAATTAAATGGTTAGGAACATATTTCTCAAAAGAAATATGTCAATAAATTAATGCTAGAATCAACTATTTCGGTTTCATCATGATATTGAATTTCTTATTTTCTATGAATTTATATTAATATATTAATTATATTAATTTTCTCAACCTGTTCCTAAACAACTAATAAGTTTACTGTAGAATTTTGTTTACATTTTTTGTCGGCGTTATTTAATAATTAAAAAAAAAACAGTTCTGGAAACGTATCCACCCAAAAGTACAATTTTAAACGTCGATTTTGCGCTCAAACTCAAAAAATTTGTTTGTCTCAAATGAATCCACACCACTGCATACTCAGTTCAACTACCTTACATAGCCGATCTGTCCCTTTAAACCCTATGTTTTTTCTTCTCTTCTTATCTTTCATGTTCATTTCCTAGTTTTATGGGTTTCACTATCTGTTGTAGATTTATTTAATTATCTAAACTAAACTATGTCTCCAGGTTGTACCTAAACCCTTTGTTTGCATCTCCTCTTCTCATGGTTACAATGTCGGTCAACTTTATTCTCAACCTAGCCTGGATATTCATATTTGATAGGTATTATATACGAACTATACAGTTTGGTCCAATATTTATGCTAAAATTAGATAATTTCATATTTTGATCCAATATAAACGCTGAAATCAATTAATTTGGACCAATATCAATGCTAAAATCAGATAATTTCATATCTGATCCAATATTTAAGCTAAAACTATTTAATTTGGTCCAATATTTCTTTTATAATTATTAAATGTATATTTTGTTTCAACATTTCTGTTAAAATCATTAAAAGAATTAAATTTTGTCCAATATTTCAGAGAGTATTTGATTGCTGCATGTGTTATACTGATACTGATCGCTGCTACTGGTATTGCTGTGGTTGGAATGATGGCTAGAAATGTAGAAAAGTATAGTGAAGAATATGCTAAGGGAACTGATATGTTTATCTGGGGGATTCTTTACAGGTTAATCAGATTTTGATATCCCCCCCCCCTGCACTTATATTTGCATTTTTTTAAAATCAAATCATAGATTTTATTCTACAACGTTCCGACGGTCCAATTCGACACATTGTGAAACAGAATTTTGTAAAATCTGGGTTTAGTCCTAAAAATTAAGATAGGAGACTGAAATTTTGTACAATCTTCGTTTAGTCCTAAAAATTAAGATAAGAGACTGAAATTTTGTACAATCTGGGTTTAGTCCTAAAAATTAAGAAATTAAGCTGAGAGACTGAAATCTTGAACTTAATCTAGATTTATGATGAATTTACTAATCTTGAATTTAATCCAGATTTATGATAAATTTAATAATCTTGATTTTAATCTAGATTTAAGATAAATTTAATAATCTTGAATTTAATTCAGATTTATGATAAATTTAATAATCTTGAATTTAATCCAGATTTATGATATATTTAATAATCTTGAATTTAATCTAGATTTATGATATATTTAATAATCTTGAATTTAATCTAGATTTATGATAAATTTAATAATCTTGAATTTAATCCAGATTTATGATAAATTTAATAATCTTGATTTTAATCTAGATTTAAGATAATTTAATAATCTTGAATTTAATCTAGATTTATGATAAATTTAATAATCTTGAATTTAATCCAGATTTATGATATATTTAATTATCTTGAATTTAATCTAGATTTATGATGAATGGGTTCGCAGTCTACGCTACCTGGACTGTAATTGCCAGCTTATTAAACTTTACCATAGCTCTAGTATATGCAGGAGATACTGATTTAAAGGTATTGTTAACCCTACTTTACCATTACTCTAATATATGCAGGAGATACTGATTTGAAGGTATTGTTAACCTACCTTTACCATTACTCTAGTTAATGCAGGAGATACGGATTTAAAGGTATTGTTAACCTACCTTTACCATTACTCTAGTATATGCAGGAGATACTGATTTGAAGGTATTGTTAACCTATACTGTATCCTTAAGATCAAAATGTTAATAATCTGCGACAAATAATCCTTTAGTTACAGACTTTTTGTCGCTTACTTACGTATTTAAAAGAAAGCGATTTTTAATCGTTTTCTTCACCAAGATAAGGATACAGTGTACCTTTACCATTACTCAAGTATATGCAGGAGATACGGATTTGAAGGTATTGTTAACCTACCTTTACCATCGCTCTAGTATATGCAGGAGTTACTGATTTGAAGGTATTGTTAACCTACCTTTACCATTACTCTAGTTAATGCAGGATATCCTGATTTGAAGGTATTGTTAACCCTACTTTACCATTACTCTAGTATATGCAGGAGATACTGATTTAAAGGTATTGTTAACCTACCTTTACCATTACTCTAATATATGCAGGATATCCTGATTTGAAGGTATTGTTAACCCTACTTGGATAGAGATGGACATCGTTTTTTTTTTTTAACGAAGAAACTCGACTTGGATCGTTCAGAGAACTGAAATAACGATTTTCCGGAACATTTTTTAAAAATGAATCTTTTTTTGTTGAACAAAGATTTACTGAAAAAATAATTTTACTGAACGATCGTTGAGTAAAGAAACGAACAAAATAGATGGAAAATAAAGGGTGATTTTGAACAGGAACGACATCAATTTTTTGAACCATTGAACTAATAATTAATGAATTAATAATTGTTAACTTTTTTGGGGCAAATCTTTCATATTTCCAAATCTTTTAGTTTGCCATTAAGTATTCAAGAAATAAGACTTATATTGTAATCTTCAAATCAACATATTGCTAGATTCATAAGTCGCACACACATTTCATACGCAGACATATTCATGTATAGATAAATAGAAAAGGTGTAGATAGTTAAAAATCAGTTGTTAGACAGTATAATTGTTACGACCATATCTGGTTATTATTTAAATTGATGAAAAGACCCTTTTTCAACTATCATTATATTTAGGCAACTAGCTTGGCTGCTCTATCCTTAATGGTCATATTTTACGTAACCTGGTTTATTTTAGAGAACTTTCAACTATTATTATATTTAGGCAACTAGCTTGGATGCTCTATCCTAACTGGTCATATTTCACGTAACCTGGTTTATTTTAGAGAACTTTCAACTATTATTATATTTAGGCAACTAGTTTGCCTGCTCTATCCTAACTGGTCATATTTTACGTAACCTGGTTTATTTTAGAGAACTTTTAACTATTATTATATTTAGGCAACTAGCTTGGCTGCTCTATCCTTACTGGTCATATTTTACGTAACCTGGTTTATTATAGAGAACTTTCAACTATCATTATATTTAGGCAACTAGCTTGGCTGCTCTATCCTTACTGGTCATATTTCACATAACCTGGTTTATTATAGAGAACTTTCAACTATCATTATATTTAGGCAACTAGCTTGGCTGCTCTATCCTTACTGGTCATATTTCACGTAACCTGGTTTATTCTAGAGAACTTTGTTTTTGATAAGTATGTCAGGTAGAAATATATATTTACTATTTATAATAGCTACCTGACTAGCTAACAAGCTAATCAAATAATCTGATATACATAGCTCACTATGTAACTAACTAGATAAATAGCTAACTAGCTAACTAGCTAACTAGCTAACTAGCTAACTAGCTAACTAGCTTACTAGATAAATAGCTAACTAGCTAACAACTAACTAACTACCGTAACGCGCTGGCCAAATATTTAACTACCCAATTTACCAACTTCCTACCTAACCCCGTACCTATCTGTTTAGGTACCTATTAACCCCCAGCCTATCTGTTTAGTTACCTATTAACCCGCAGCCTATCTGTTTAGAAGCCTATCAACCCACTTCCCACATATTTCGGAACCTAATAAACCCCTAACTAAGGTACCTATTAACCCCTGCCTACATGTTTAGTTACCTATTCAACTCCTGCTAAACTGGTTAGGTACCTATTCAACCCTGCCTATATGTTTAGATACCTATTAACCCCAAGCCTATCTGTTTAGGTACATATTAACCCCTGCCTACATGTTTAGGTACCTATTAACCCCTGCCTTCATGATTAGGTACCTATTAACCCCCTATAACCTACATGTTTAGTTATCTATTAAACCCCTGCCAAACTGTTTAGGTACCTATTAACACCCTATAACCTACATGTTTTGTTACCTATTAAACCCTTGCCAAACTGTTTAGGTACCTATTGACCTCCAATAACCTACATGTTTAGGTACCTATTAACCCCTGCCTACATGTTTAGGTACCTATTAACCCCCTATAACCTACATGTTTAGTTACCTATTAAACCCCTGCCAAACTGTTTAGGTACCCATTAACCCCCCTATAACCTGCATGTTTAGTTACCTATAAAACCCCTGCTAAACTGTTTAGGTACCTATTAACCCCCTATCTGGTTGTTATGTGGGCTAGTAATGGTATCCGTGCTAGCCTAGCGAGTAAATCAGATACGCCTGCAGAGGTAAAAATTTCAAATTTCTATCTATTTATTTTTACAAAAGCTATGCGGAATTTAAACCGTCTGTCTTCTTATATTCATGATTCCCTGCAACTATAAAGTTCTTTTTTTCTTTGCATTAATCATTTCATAAGCTATTCAAAGACCCCATTCAAGATAGAAGTTAGGCTAATTGATATAATTGAATAGTTTCATGTCGTCTTTACAGTCTTATTCTTTGATTGAAACCCTGACACTGTAATATCTCATAATAAAACAAGTAATATCAAATAAACAGCGGAATATTGCTCGTCTTCCCTTTATCTTTAAACCTTTAAATTAGAAACCACGCAAAGGAACTTGTAACTGTAATATCTGTAAAAAAGTGCCACCAATATTTTTGCAGATATATTTCGGTTTTATTTAAAAAGCTGGAAATTGTTATTCTTTGCAATTTTTCTAACCAAAATAAACAGCGAGGATGACGATTATTTCATTTGTTATTGTTCATCACTGTTTATACAGTGATAACCAGAAAACTCTGAGAGTCGACTTAGTAACATTACTTAAGTGTATTTGATCCTGTTACAAAGCAAAAAGTCTTATACCAGACAATTAAGCAATTAAGTGAAACGGGTCTTTTTACAAGGCACAATTGCTGTGTACCATGGTCATTGGACTATTTAAAATCATTGAGTCTAAAAGTCGTCTTTCTATTTCACAGTTTTCTGGTTCTCATCGTATTATATTTATTCTAGATCACCTCGTTTGTTCTAAGTATCCTTGTGATAGCAAGTATAACTATGATAATACGTATAATTATTGTTGTCGTCAGATCTCTCAGGAATAACTTCATTCTATCATTCACAATAAAAAATATGATTTTAAGGGAGAGTTATTTCATTAATTCTTTGTTCAGTAAAACCGATAAACTTTAAGTAACGTTTAAAGGGAGTGTTCGCGAAAAATGAAAGGGGGTATAGGCTTAATGCGATAAAAAAGCGCTTTTGATCGCTACTAATCTTACTTCTATCTGTTGCGTCTTTAAGGAGAAAATTGTTAAAGACGTCTCATACCGAAGAACGTAGCGCCCATACAAATTGAGGAAATTGCAACATACGACTTAGACCGTAAAAAAAATCAATTTAATTTCAAACAAATCATTCAGATATTACAATTCCTATAGTCATCGGTTACCTTTCGCCACATTTGTATATAGTTTATATATTATAATATTTTTTAATTATATTTTTACATTTACTTTTTTAGAAAACGTTTTTAACGGATTTTGAAAAATGTGAGTGGTGCGCGGCATTCTTAGATAGTTGCGCAAGCGACAAGAGAAATAATCAAATTCAAAACAAATTAATTAAAAAAATATTATATTTTCTCCTTATAGACGCAACAGATAGTAGTAAGATAGTAGCGATCAAAAGCGCTTTTTTATCGCATTAAGCCTATACCCCCTTTCATTTTTCGCGAACACTACCTTTAAGTAATCTTTTGTTTATTTCATAATCTTATAAATTAGTAAGTTTCATATTAGTATGACTAAATTAAATCATAAGTTTTAACTTGAATCTAACACAGTTGTCTGAGTCCCACCGTAGTGTTTCGAAATTTGATGAGGCCAGACTTAATAAAAAGCAAGACTCAGTTGAACCACTTCTTCACTTTACTCTTGGCCAGAAGTGATACGGAGTTCAACTGTACATCTCGCTTTTTTTAATATGGCCGACAACATTTTTGAAGCAAACCCGGTTTCCCTCAGATAGCTTATTTTATACACGGTAAATAACACAGACCCATTTTGCTGGTCAGTCAATGGACATTTTTCAGAATTATTTTTTTTGTTTTGAATTTTTACATTTGTTGAAGAATGAATGATGATTCAGGAAGCCAGAAAAGAAAAGAATTTCAGTTTCTGCGATTTAGATGTATGTAGAGCTATATATATGTATTTGATTATACACTATGCTCCAAAAAACATGGGAACTAAAAGACGACCTAAAAATATTCTTAATTTTCTATATTCAATGAATCATAGATTTGTTAAAATAACAGATAGGACACAAGATTTGGACGAAACTCGTTCACAATAACCCTGAGGCAGAAGTTCAGATGAGTTTCACGCAGTCGGCGTAGAATTACAAAACAGAGAGAGCCTTTTCTTTTCTACGCCGACTGCGCGAAACCCCCTTGGGCTTCTGCCTTAGGGTTTTTGTGAACGAGTTTCATCCAATTCTTAAAAAGACGACATCTAGTGTCCTATCTGTTATTTTAATTAATCCATGCAATGAATGATCTGGTGTATAAAAGTTGGAGATCGCAAAATTTGCTTGTTCCTATATCTTTGAAACCTATGATATTTTAAACTTAATCTATATAATCTGACAGAAGCCATAGATTTCAGTGTAAAATATCAATGAAATCAGGTTGTAAAGAAATAGGGATTAAATTAATCAGAATTTGTGGCAAAAACTCCTTTCTTGACTTCTTCTTCAGTTTTTAAGGTACATAACTAGCACACCACATTTCTGAAACCCCATCACGTTCAGATTTTAATAATAACTGTTTTTAGTACAGTTACGATAACTGCATTAAGGAACAAATGCCCTACATATCGAAGAAGATTTTAGATTTAGTTCCGTTGTTTTTGGGACACCTTGTATATGTGTATTTTGCACCACTCAGATAAAATATAATTTAAGATCTCATTGATTCATGATCTATATTAATCCGCAAAATTTCTTTTAAATGATTCATTTTAATCAAATTTTGTGATTAGAAGGTTACAACATAATTTTCTTATTCTAAATGTAATTTGTAATCGAGTGTTCAGAAAAAAAATGTTTATTTTTTAATGCTGTGATTTTTAGTTCCCCCTTGAAGTTAACCCATTAGACACTTTTTTATTTCTCTCTCAGTTTATAAACCTATGTTTTGCTTCTTTTTGACAATAATAAAGGGAAGAATGAAAAGCTAAACCCAAATTGAATTTGAAATCGAATGGTATCAATCTTTGGAATATTACATGAAAAAATTACTATATTCCAAATTCAATTCGGGTATAGCCAATACCCCACTTAATTTTTCGCGAACACTCCCTTTAATATTTTCAAATATTTTTTAACAAATGCACAATCTTCGTTAAAAATTTAAAAGTATAAAAATCTTTGTATATTTTCCAGAAAAATCTCTCTTAGGGTTTTGTAAAAATTAGCAGACCAAAAAAATGCAGTTTATTTACACAGACAAGACAAAATAGGTTTATATTAAACCTTTTACTGTAAATTTCACACTGACTATCTATAATTTAATGATTTTCGCTTCAAGATTTAGAACCAAAGAAAGTTTTTCAGGTATTCGGTAATGAATACACATCAATGTATCATCAAATAATCTTATATTTTTCTAGAACTAACTTTTTTTAAACACAAAAATTTAAGTTTTTAAACCAAAAATGTTTTAGCATTTTATATGTAGTCAAAAATAAATGTTTAAATCAAGTATTTTCATTTATTTATAATTTTCCACCCTGAAAAACGTCGGACCTAAAGTTTGTTGTCAATCACAGCTTTATGAAATAAATGCGACTAAGTGTTCTCGATCTTATAAACGATTTTATAAATATTACACGATTTAATAGTTTGCAATGGAAATGTCAACTCTGTCAACTTATATTGACATTTAAAGCTAAAGAAGATGAAGTAAAACCGTTTTAACGATCTCATGCTTGTGATATTCATCAAACAATTGAAATATGTGAATGCATACACGGTTGACTTAAAAGAGGATTGAATGATGAGACTTAAAGAACTTTAGGTCGAAATTAAAGTCTTCCTATGTGGATATCCCTCTGGTCTATGTATATATATTAGAAAGCACATGTTTGATAGATGATAGATCAAAAAATATCTAGTCAGGACATTCATAATATATATTTATTGATAATAAAAGCATAAAACAATAAAATAAAACTAAAATGTGTTTAAGAGTTTCAGGTCGGCATTAAAGTCGTATTCATAGTGGGTAACCCAGAGTTCGAATTTAAAGAATTTGAGCCGCGGATTAAATTTGAGACGCGGCTCAAATATGGTTGGTTACACTTAAAATTGTATTCAATGTTTCAAGATTTAAGCCGGCACTCAATTGAAACCGGTTTTTGGTGGATTTGAGACGCGGCTCGAATTCATTAAATGTGGTCTCAGAATATATAAGAAACCAAGATATTGATATTTATATAAATATTAAATTATAGATGTTTAAAAATCACTTGTTAATAATTCATGACATCATAAATTTAGTACTTATAAAAAACGAACAAAAAATGACATAAAATGTTGTTCTCATATACGTTTTTTTACATTTATTCCTTAAATAGCTGTTATACATACAAAGATTTTCCCCTTAGAAATGAGAAGATTGGGAATAACGTAGTACTGCATTTTCAAACATTTCTATATGTACAAATAAAACTGCAGGAATAGGAAGAAGACTTTAAAACAACACCGAAATTCACTAAAAAAATTGTTCTAATCTCAGCTTCCTATTCCATATTTTATGAGCTCCCACTGTAAAGTTTTTCAACGAAAAAGAAGACAAGGATAAAGACGACATTTGAAGTAGTTTTCTTCTTGTTTAATGTAGAATAGTGGCGGGATGAATGCTTGTGACAAATAAATCAAGCAACGATCAATCAGCTGCCCGTTATATTGGTCACAAACGCTCACACCGCCGCGGAGGGGGCTTCCAATGGCGGTTGTCTCCAAAGGCGGTTGCTTCAAATGGTGGTTGCTTCTTATAACGGTTATTTCAATGGAGGTTGTTGACCGGTGGTTGTTCCAATGGCGGTTGTTCAAATGGCGGTTGCTCAAATGGCTGTTGTTCTAATGGTGGTTACTCCAATGGATGTTGTTCCAATGGCGGTTGCGTGAAATGGTTGACCAATTCCTAATATTTGAATGATCTATAATTGAAAAACCACATCAAGATACTGAAAACATAAAGGTTGTTTAATGCATGCTTTAAAAATCTCTCTGTACATATTAAGTTTTAGAATAACAAAAAACATGTTCAACATGTACAACGTGAACATGAGTGTCGAAAAGTTCTTACGCTGATAATAGAATCGTAAAATAAACAGCCCTGTACTTTCTGGAAAATACTATTTTATAAAAACATATAAACGTATAAACGTAAGTATTGAAAGAAGTATTCAACTAACTAATTTTAACTAAAATATTACACATGTTAGTTAGAAGAAGAGGTATAGGAAGGGTAGAAAGAAACCTCGGTAGCAGGGATACCTATTCTTTACTTAAGTTTGTAGAAATCCAAAGGTTTTAATTACCGCAGAACTTACAAGTGTTCATTAACAAAAAAGAAACGTTATTTAAAATTATTTATTATTCATGATTCATTGTAAATCAAAATATTTGCTTTTACGGATAACTTTTCAAAACGGGAAAATTATTGCCGTCTTTCCCGTTACTGTTTACATGTTAAGCTAACTTAAAAACAAAAAATTTTCATTAATTTTTTTTAATTCAGTCACGTGCAAAAAAATAGCTGAAAATCAAGTTTCATAAATAAATATTAAAAGGATAGAAATACTTTGACAAGTGGTAAAATTACCAGTAGTAGTTGAAGTAGATGTAGTTGAAGAAGTTGAAATAGATGTAGTTGAAGATGTTGAAGTAGATGTAGTTGAAAAAGTTGATGTAGATGTAGTTGAAGAAGTTGATGTAGATGTAGTTGAAGAAGTTGAAGTAGATGTAGTTGAAGAAGTTGATGTAGATGTAATTAAAAAAGTTGATGTAGATGTAGTTGAAGAAGTTGAAGTAGATGTAGTTGAACTAGATGTAAAATGATTTTAGTATTAAAACCAAAGATTGAACCTATCCCTGTGTCTATTAGTTTCAAACTGAGGACTGTTCTAATGTTGATGCTCTAATTATTTCAAATTTAAAATCTTTAAACTGACACAGATGTATTTCCACCAATATACCAGATAATTAGAAAACGAATTAAAATCTGATAAAATTTTATTATTTGGAAGAAAAGCAGGTGCCGAGAATGGATTAACGTAATTATTGTAATTCTTTTAAACCATGATATCTAGCCACCACTTAGATCGAGTATAATGTACATACAGTGGTCCCCTAAATTTTTTTATGTAAAACAGCTTTCATATATTGTTAAAAATACAGAGCGAGAATTAAGGGGGGGGAGTCCAATTTCAAATACAGGAGACAGTGTTATTTATAAATCACTTGTACGACTTTTAAACCGTTATATTCAAATACTTCCAGGTCCTGCACTATACTTCAGTACTGTACTGTACTGTCCTGTACTGTACTGTACTGTACTGTACTGTACTGTACTGTACTGTACTGTACTGTAATGTACTGTACTGTACTGTACTGTACTGTACTGTACTGTACTGTACTGTACTGTACTGTGCTGTGCTGTACTGTACTGTACTGTACTGTACTGTAAACATACCTTTTAAAACTTAATAAAGTATAACATTTTAAAATAAACTGACAAACTGTTATATTCAAACACTTCCAGGTCGTCGTTATATTCTCATCCTTTGTTGGTATCCCTGTATTATTTTAGCATTTCTCAAATGATTTTGGACAATAACAGTTGAACCACGTCCACATTACGTAAATATAGAAATGGAAAAGAATTTGGAAATAATTTAATGGAAATAAGTCTGCTAATACTACTTGTAAAAGTTTCTATCTAATAAAAAAAGTAAAGGGACTGTCATCTTAATTTCAAGTGACTCTCCGTGCAAAAATGGCAGTGCCTGATTCACAACGATATCCTTGAAACCTTTATCTGATTAATAATGTAGAAGATATTTTCGTTTTCCAAGGTTAAACTTTTTAATTCTGATAATTCCTGTTTGTAGTAGAGCAGAATGCGCAAGTCACTTTTGTTTAAAACCAACAAATAAAATTAATAAATTTAAAAATGATAAATATTGATATATAATTCATACTGAATCGGA